AAGCCAAGGGTTTGATTAAGGAAGGAAAAGCATTTTGTAGTCAGTCAATTCCTGCTACAATAAATCTCTTCAGTGAAGGATGCTACAGCAGAGACATAAATGGCGCTAGCTGTGCTTGCACAGTTGACTGCATTATAAAACAAACCGCACACTTAAGACTGTATGTTCCAAACAATTCAGAAAAGAAGGCAGGGAGAGGTGAAGGAAGGAGCAAAAACTGGTGTGAGTGGAGGAAACCTGTTCTGTCCATTTTAGAGGTTGGGGCCGCAGCCTTGATGCCTTGGATTCTTCTTAAGCAAGTTTGCTTCCCAGCATCACATTTTGCACGGGCTGGCTCTGCTACCTGCCAGCTCTGGCCTCTTGAGTCACTTAACCTCCCATGCTTTTGTGCTTGTATCTGTAAAATGAAGGCAACAGCACCTCTCTCATGGGGTTTCTGTGAGAATTAAATAAAATGACCTTTGTCTGGTGCAGAGAAGAGCCACTGGAATGCTGTGTGCCATAGTGCTGCCTCATGCTCTTACTGTCCCATGTCTAAAGGCAAGACAGAGGATGGCGTGGGAGCAGCAGGGCAGGCGGCCCTGTGCAGTACTGGGAGGACTGGGGCAAGTGCTTGGGCGGAGCTAAGCTTTGTGATCCATCCCATATACCCATGGTATTCGTCACAGTCCTCAGTGTTTTCTGCTTCAATACCACACCTACTTTAGCATCTGGGGACTTCCTACTGGGGGCGAGAAACCAGAATGTCAAGGGTGACTATTATCTTCAGCCCTGCTCCAGGTGATTGTCCTCTCTATTCCTCTTCATTGGATCCTGGAGACTATTTAGCCCCAACTGTTCCATTAAAGAGATGGAGGAGCTGAGGTCCAGAGAAAGGAAGAGTTACCCAAGATCACATGAAAGAACTAGAATCCAGATGTTTTGTCTTTCCCTCTTGGGCTTTTTCTACCAGGCTACCCCACAATTCCGGGGTATTCTAACTTTTGTATTTGACGCCATGATTTTCTCTGGCTGGGGAACCTCTGACAAGCTCCCCAGGGTTTTCTCTTTGTCAAATATCTGCTACATTTCAGGCTGGATCAGACAATTCACCTGAGTGGCACCAAGTCTAGGGTGAGAGAGCCTGTGTTATACACAGAAAGGAGGCTGGGAGGTGGAGTCAAAAGAATGAGTTTTTAATCCAGGGTCAGCCTTCCCGAACTCCGGGAGGCACCATATAACCTGTGTAAAAACCAGTGTTTTTGTAAATTGGGGACAATGATATTTTTGTGTGATTGTTTTGACAAACAGATGAGGCAGCATGTAGGAAAGTTCTTTCTTATCTGTCAAAGTTGGTTCATTGGTGTCTTTTCTCTCCAGAAAGAGACTCTGCCTTCTCCTTCACTCTGCCTTCTCCTTCACTTTCTTCTCCCCTACAGTATTTTTGCAAAGTGCAAGTTGGTACATAACTGTTTCAGAGAAGACCTCTCCATTGATTGAATAAGATCTCCAGGGCCAGGATCACCTGATGCTTTGATGCTTCAGGACCCCACTTCAGCCCTGGTACAGGGACAAAAAAGTGTGAGGTTGCAAAGAAAGACCACTGGTTTGGAGGAGGGTAGAGGTAAACAGAGGCTTGCCGATGAAAAGCAAACTGGATTTAGAAAACAAACTTGAGCTAATGGCTGTAGGTGGTGTTAGTCATTCGGTTAAGGAATTTGGGAATACATATGCATACTAATGGGGATTTATTTTGGCTGCTTCTTACTCCAGCATTTGGAAAGGGAGGAGGGGTGGAGGGCACTCACCGCATGATTAAAACACTCACAACCTGCATCTCCAGAAAATGCGGTTACTGAAACTGCCCCCGAGGATGCATTTACCCGCCCAAATTTCATAAGTGCTGTAGGATACTGGGTTTGGACTGATGGTTGGTCCTGGGGGAAGCTGAGAAAATGGGGCACTAAGAATCTAGGAAGGGTGCTCCAGCTTCCAGTTCATGCAGTGAACTCAGTGCAGAGATCCCAAGATCTTATGAGAACTTGTTCCAGGATCACTTTCATCCTCTTGTTCCACAAAAGTCACTTTTCCAATTGTGGTGAGCTGGGGGTTGCCTCTGAGAAGCATCTAGTACATTCCTGAACCTTCTTCACACTGGGGTTTTAGAGTGATAGTCAAGGACGCAGCCGCTGTGTTGTGCAGAAAGAAGCACAGGGCACATGCTTTCTGTGCCGCATAGAGACATGAAAGGGTGTGCGAAAACATCCTTAAGCCCCTGCTGGGAGCTCTCTGGGAAGTCATTTATCTGCCCTGCACTTCAGTGCCTCGACTCTAAAACTGAAACAAAGAAGTATGTTCAAGGAGCCTTAAAAATCTCCATACCTTTCAACCGGGTGATTCCATTTCTGGGAACTTAGCCCAAGCAAAGAAACAGGAATGTGGACAAAGACTTAGGCACAAAGATGTTCATCACAGGGTTATTTAGAAGAGTCAAAGTGGAATATACAGATGAATCCAAGTGCCCATCATTAGAATAGCTTATGTACAAGCTTTCTTCTCTCTCTCATACAAAAACATGCACACACAAACTCACGCCTGCACACACACACTTTGGGTAGCTCTGTTTCACTGTTGTGGTCAGTGGCCATTAAGAGCAGTGCAATAGAACAACAGTGCTCCTACCCAGCCATTCTGAACTTGCTCAAGGAAGCAAGAAATCCACTATCATTCACCTTTCCGTTATCCAAGCAGAGACTTTGTTCTGGGGATTTTCCATGATGAATGTTGACCTCAGACTGCTTTTCTCTTAGTCTCCTAAGGGGCATCTGGGGCCCTTCCCCACCTGCCAGGGTCATTCTGGGGTTCCTAGAACTTAGTACATAGGTGCTCGGGATACACACAGTATCCCAAAGCCCACAGTATCTTCAAAGGCTTGTATTGACCATTAGAAAAAAGCATGCTGAACAGCCAGGTGACAGGCTCCTAGGCCAATGCTCAGATCAGGTGAGGCAAACATGTTTTGAAAAATAAAGCAGTTGTCCTGAGAGTGACCCATGGTGCAAGAAATGATCCATCCAGGTCCAGCCCCCCCCACCCACCCCGGAATATCCATATTTCCTTTCCCGAGCTGGGGAAACTTACTGATGGCTACTGGGTTCTCTGGGGAACCTGGGACTTGGCCGTCTCGCCAGCATCTCTGGGTGTCCTGTCCCCTTAGCCGTGCCATCCTTCTGCTTCATTGGCTCCTCAGAGCAGCTCCATCTCCATTCTGGTGTCTGCTTGGTCTGTCTCCGTGTTTAGGTTCTGGTTCTCTCATGGGTGACTCTGGCCCTCCTGGGAACTCAGAAACTCATACTTGGGCTTCCTACCCTTCCATGGGTCCCCTACCTGTGGTATCCAGAATCACAAATAAGCAAAGAAGAAGATACCCTCCTTTTTTCACCTCCACCTATTTCTAACATATGTTCCTTCTACTCATCTCTTCCTCCTTCCTTTCCTACTCATTTCTCCTCCTTTCCCCATCCACCCTTTTTTCCTGTCTCTTGTTTCTTGCCAACCCACTCTAATACATCCTGAGTATTATCCTAGCATACCCTTCTCCCCTCAGGCTGCCTAGAATCCCTGCAGGAAAGGGCCTATCTTTCAGTGTCTGCAGTGTGCTAATCTGGCAATTTTCCTGGGTGCACATGGAGAGGGTATGCAGCATATGAGGACAGGATACCCTGGCTCCTTCAGCTAGGCAGCCCCCACGATGTGCATAGAAAAGGCAGCGTGTGATATCACAAATTTATGCAGGTGAGCCAGTCCTGAGCGGCAGACACCCATCCTCATGCCACGTATGCCTCCCTGTGGGTGGCTCAGACAGGTGCATGGGAGGTGTTAGCCACTGGGAGAAAAGACATGGGTTGGGACTTTCCCCCTGCCCCTGGGCTTCCAGCTGGAATCTCAAAGTTTCATTTCCTCAGTGGGAAAGGTACATGTACCCTATGGGAAGCCCAGTAAGACAATGCCCATTCTTCCTTCCCAGGAACTGGTTGCGAATCTCCATGGGTAGAGAGGACCCAGGCCATCAGATGCTAACCAAACCCACCGTCAACGTCAGCTTGCCTTAAGGACTCAATAAACTGTCACGTTCCTTGGACAAATAAATGTACTCTCTCCTTTTCCTGATATGATACATGAGGGTCTCTTCCAACGAGGGAAAAGTGTCGAGCAAACAGTTGGCGCCACTGCACACCCCATGAGTTGCTGTGATACGAACAGTCTAGTGTGTGTGCATGCACTGAGTGATCCTTTCGATCCTCACTGGGGTGAAGAATGGGAGCTGGGAACAGGGGTTGTGTGCGATCCTCCCAGCCCCCAACCGCAGCCCAGGGCCAGCGCGCTCAGGCTTTTTCTCCTGCAGGCAAGTGGCTGAAGACTGCAGGGCGCGCTCCGCACGTGAGGCGGCAGCACTCGCGCGGCCGCTGCAGCGCAGCCAGGCCGCCCGGCTCGCCCTGCCCAAGGGCTGCCCTCTCCGCGGGGCCGCCGAACTCGCCCTTCCCTTGCGGCTCCCAGGGCCCAAGCTCAGCAGCCGCAGTCCCCGACGCGGCCAAATCCCACTCGATCCCCTTTGCTCGGGCCCGGCTAGCCAGCCCGCTACCCTTGCGGTCCCGGCGCCACCCCTCGCCGGGACCGTGAATCCGTCGGCTTTCCGCCGCGGTGTTGGTGGGCGCTGAAGGGGCTGCGCTCGGCGGCCGGGCGTTGGGCGAGGAGCTGGCTCCCGGTTCCTGCAGCTCCGCGGGTCGCCACTGGGGGTTGCAGCGCCGGAGAGCTCGTTGGGGACCGTGCGCACGGCTCCCGGTTCCCGGGTGCCTCCGTCCGGCCGCTGAGCTGTCTCCACCGCTGGCCCCGCGCTGCCGCCGCAGCCCGCCTGGCTCCCTCCCGGATCTGTGCGTGTGATCGCTGTGCGTGTGAGTGTGACGGGCGCGCGCGCGCGTGCGCGCGCGGGGGGCAGTGTGCACGCGGGGAGTGCGGGGGAGTGTGTTTGTGTGTGTGTGTGGGGGTGTGAGTGCCTGGCTCGCTCTTGCTGAGACACACACACTCACACACACACATACACACAACCCTCTAGCTCGTCTGAACTTGAAGGCACCCCACATTCCAAGATGCCCGAGGTTCCCGGGAATGCCTAGGGTGCTTCTATCTGGAGACTCCTACCAGTATCTTCCTAGGGAGGGATTTTCCTTTTTCTTTCTTTCTTTTCTTTTCTTTTTTTTTTCCCTCTTTTTTAAAATCTGGAAGAGAAGAGAGCAAGTTGTGCTTTTTCCTCCCTTCTTGCTAAATGCCATGGATATAACTGAATAAGCCGCTCGGGGCTCTCCCTCGTGGACGTCCGAGGCCACCATCTGCCAGCGTTTGCCGAAGCCGGAGGGCTTAGCTAGAGCCTGTCTAGGGCGGGGAAGGATGCGTGGTCGAACCGGGGAACCCGGGCACCCTGCGGAGCCGGCCTTGGTGCCTCCCAGCCTGGGTTAGATGCTGCCTCGCCCAGGTGAGTGGTCGCCGCTGCCGCGATTCTGCGATCCGATCCCCGGCGGCGTCTGCCTGAGCTGGGCGCTGGGCTGAACGCACCCGGGGGAACCCGGAACTTTGCATCCCTTTCTTTTTCTCCTTAGCACTCCCCTCACCCAGTACCTGTGCAGACACCTTCTTGACTTTTCCTTCATCCTTACCGCGGGAGGTTTCCTTTTCTCTTTTTTTCTTTCTTTTTCTTTTTCCTGATAGTGGGGGCTGCAATCGGCAAGGGGCAGCGAGAGCGGGTTCTTGTGAGGCCAGAGAGACCTGGCGCCGCAGGTAGATGGAAACCTTGAAAGCAGCAGGAGAACTTTGCCGCCAGACCACTCTGTTGCATCTCTTCACACGGGAGGCCTGGCGAGAGCTCTTGGTGGGGGCTGGGTCCGGATGCCAGGGCTCCCTGTGTTCCGTGGGCTGGGGAGGGTGGGGTAGAGCCCCGCGCCTGGGGTAGATTCAGCGCCAATGGAGGGAAGGAAGGCATTGCAGTTTGGGGAAGCAGGTAGGGCAGACGCAGGGGCTATCCTGGCCTCAGGCAGAAGACAAGGAGATCAGGGGGATTGTGTGTGTAGAGCTTGGGGCATTTGAATGGCATGATGAAGCAATATGGAAACTGGCATTAACCATGCCTGGTTGGTAGGTCCCTCTCCCACCCAGCCCTGCCCTAGTTCTAGGGTCGGCCTGGGCAGGGAGGGGGGAGAGCCATGCAGTGTGAGGCCAGCATTATCTTGCTGTGCACAGATCCTGGTGGGAACAGGGAGGTATCTTGCCCATCTTCTTGTCACCCCCATACAAAGGACATAGGCAGTGAGTTGGAGGGAGACAGAGCCCCTGAAAGCCAGAGCCTGAGAGAGAAAGACAAGGAGCCTGAGCAGAGACCGCAGAGGGACTGAGCCACGCCACACCAAGTGCATGCAGACACAGCCAGCAGAGCAGCAGACAGACCCTTCCCAAGGGGAGCTGGGGGCTGTGGGCACCCTGCACTCTGAGCCAGAGTTAGGGGCATGGTGCCCACCCTCTCCCCCACCACCGTGGAGTGTTGAGGGAGTGTGTGAGAAGGGCTCCTGCTGTGGTTGCAAGGCAGCTCAGCTTTGTGGGGTTGGGGGAGGGGGCTGCTTCAGGAAATTGACCCCCCATGGCTGGGGAGGAGCAAAGCTTAGAGGAAAATTGCTAGTCTCTGGGCTGTGAAGTTCCCAGAGACCAGAACAGGCGGTTCTGGGTGGGCTGATGCAAGTGGGTGGGGGCTGATTTGGAACTCCTGGTGGGGAGTCAGAAGCAAGGATTATGGGGAAACTGGGAGCAAAGAACCCTTGTCTCCTGGTCTGCCCAGCACTGACTACCATCCTCTATGAGCTCAGCCCCCTGTGGGACCTGCTTGGACCTGGAGGCCGAAGGGGGTGAGGATTGTGCAGGGAGGACTCAAAAGCTTTGAGAGCCAGCCTTGGTCCAGGCTTCTCGGTCCGGGTCAGCTACTGGGGCCTGCGCTGACCCTGGAATGGCATCCTCCCCTCCAGACTTGGAGAGGGCTGACTTTCAGCTCTCTCCTGAGGCTCCTCGCTTGCTTCGGCTCAGCCCTCCTTCCCAGCCCTCGACTGAGAGTTTCTGGTCTAATTCCTGCCTGGGAATGTAATTATTATCTCCCTGCCCTTGCCCAGGGGAATAAAAACAGCAAACCTGGCATTTCTGTCCCAGCTCCTCGCTCCAACTCCAGCTCCAGACTGGACTGGGGACCCTGGTGCCATGGCTCAGATGCCCTGCTTTCTATGGTGCCAGTTCTTTTCCCAGTTCCAGAAATCTCAGAAGCTGGGGAGGGAGCTTCCAGGAGGCCAGACTGAGGCAGAGAAGGAGAATGGATGAGGTGGGGACACAGATGGTCAGTGGGGCCACTGTCAGGAGCAAGCAGCCTGTGGCCATCCCCACTTGGGTTTGATGAGCATGAGAATCACCTTTCTGGGCCTTGACTGCAGCTCTGAAGTAAAATAGAAAAGCCAGGGGTTCTGACCTCCAACTGGCAGCTTGGCTATTCTCTCAGGTTGGTGGGAGGGAACAGGGTCTGGCCACCTTCAGGAAGTCTGTGGTCCTGCCCTGGGAGGAGTGCAGTTGTGGGCAGCTGAGGCTTTCTGGTTCTGATGGCCCAGGCTTCTAGACCCAAAGCAGAGACAAGGAGTGAAAACCACCCCGAGGTGGCAAAGCAGGACTGGACCTTGCAAAAAACAACAAGTTTGGCATGCTGTGATTTTTCTTTGGTAGGTGTGGAGTTTTAAGATCTGGAGTATTTGGAGGGGTAAAGTTGTTATATAATAGAGTACAGTTTGAGCTTGAGGGTTTGGGTTCAAATTCTGGCTCTGCTACATCTTTGTTCCTTCATTACTTGAGCCAGTATGTTCCCACCCACTGAAATACGCGTGTGTGCCTGCCAGGTGTGTATGACCTGCGGCTTGTCCTGGTTCCCCAAGCCTCCTTTCAGATCTGGAGCCGTGTTTGATTGGAGGAAGAGTTGAGAGAGAGAGGCTCTCAGAGGCATACGAGGCAGTACCCCCAGTCTCCCTTACTAGGAGGAATTTGATGCCAGCACAATAAGCTGATCGTTAAAAGATTCCAGGAAGCCCTCCAGAAAACTTCAGGAATTGGTATTTCAGAAGTAAATGTCACCTCTGGGGCTGTGACACCTGCTTCCCTTCCTTTCGTTTGCTTTGGATTTTTATGGTCGGACACATTTGCAGAGGAATCGTGGCTCTGTGTTTTACAAGTGTCATCTGTCACCCTTTTCTCTCTGAGGCTTGAGTGTGAAATATCCCCAGAACCTAACTCAGCCTTCTCTTGCCTGATGCTGGTTCTCACTGTCTGGAGAGGGGTCTCGGAGGAGGGTGTCAGGTCCAAGGCAGGTGCATGGCACAGCTCCTTCTGGGGTCTGTGCAGGGCCTGTGATTGAACCTAGGCTGACCTGCTGAGTTGGGAGGCACACCCCAACAGAAAGAGGGGCACAGCCCTATGGACTTAGCAGAAGCTGACTAATGAACTAACTAGAAGAGCAGTGGAGAAAGAATTCTATTCATAATAGGTAGGCCAAAAAATGGATATTTTTAGGGAGCTGGGAGTTCAGTTTGGCAATAGGGGCCAGAGAGAGTAGCCATGTCCTACCTATCCATAGTAAGAGCAATCAGGAGGACTTCTTGGAAGAGGTGAAGATTTTAGAAATAGCAAAACTCCACAAAAGTGCATAGAGAGAAGATTTTGTTTTCTCTTTATAGGTCACTGGAGATTTAGAGAATTTCTGGGGTGAGGAACTGAACAAGTAGAACGGATGCTCTGAGAAATATCTTCAGATTCATCAGAACTAGATCCTTCAAAGAAACGGTCTCTTGATTGCTTATTTATTCAGATATATAAGGACTAGCTCCTTCAAAAGATAATTTCTTGATTGCTTATTATGTGCCAGACACAGTGCTAAGAGTTTCGCATTATTATCTCATTGAATTCTCACAATTCTATGAAATTGCCCGCATTATTACCTCCACTTTACAGATGAGAAAACCAAGGCTCAGAGAAGTTGCCAGGTAGCTAGCTAGCAAGTGGCTCAGTCATCACTCAACTCTTCATGTCTGCCTATATTCAAAGCCTGTCCTCTTCAGTCGCCTCTACTGCACTCCTCACAGCTGGCCCCCTCTAAGCCCCACTGGCCTTCTGACCTGGCTGAGGAGGTGACCTCAGAGCTTCTATCCCAGAAGCCCATGGAGCTCAGTCTCCTGCATGGGCATCCCTGCCTGCCTGCCCACCACTTAACCCACCATTTTAAAACCTCACATCAAACCATCAGCACCATTTTTCTGGCCAGGACGGAAGATGGGACCCTGGGCCAGCACTGGACTTTGAATCAGGCGACTCAATCCCTCATTTACATGATTTGGAGGCAAATGTCTTTACTCCACCGAGGCCCAGTCTCCTTACTGATGAATGAAGATGCTAATGCAGACTCCCCCGGGTGATGCTGGGAGGGCAGCAGTTATGAAAATGTCTTATATCTTGAGCTCTTTGGCACTTGGGGCTGTTTGTGGCCCCTTCCTAATTTAGGCTAAGTAACTAAAATGTCAAGAGTGTTAAAGGTGTGGTCTAATATATCAATTCCATGTGGGACTGCAATTAACCAGCAAGACAACAGGTTAGCCAAGTGGGCACTGTATCAGGCACAGAACCTGACACAGAACTTGCAGGAGTGGGGCTTGTGGTGGTAGGAACTGCAGGGGGAGGGGACGTCAGTGGTGGGAGCTGGGATGGGACGCACTGACACACCATTTACTTTGGCAGTCAGGTGACCTTGTGGAAGCTTTGGCATCAGAGTGAGGAGCAGAGGGCATTTTGTGGAAGCAGTTTCCTTAGGCAGGTATTTCTCAACCTTTATTTCATTATTGCTCTATCCAAGGAGCCCGTTTGGACACTTTTCACCAAAAAGATGTTTTCTAGTTGCATTCCCCCATGAAATTTTAATGCCACTGATATAGTGTCTATCCCTTTATGGACTGTTTGTTCAGACTTGATGTACAGAAAGTAAATTTTTTCACCCCTGCCAAGAACAAATGTTTGCCCCTTGGGGGCGCTGTTGCCTCCATTGAAAAGGCAGCCTTAGTGAGAACAGGCTTGGACTAGAGAAAGGTGGATTCCTGAGGCAGGAGGATCTAGGAGGTGTGGAAGAGGATCTGTTCACCCTGGAATGTCACCAGCCATGTGTGTCCAGGGACCAGCCCATGACGCTGCTGGGACAGGCCAGTGACCCAAATGCCAGCCCTCGCAGCTGGTGTAGATGAGGTGGGGGCAGGTTGGGACGCCCTGCCTTAGGACTTGAGGCTAGTCGTTGAACACAGGGTGAAAAAAAAGGACGTGGAAAGCCAGAGACTCGAGACAACTGTGAACGGGCTTGCCTGTTGCTAAACTGTCCAGTCCAAATGCACCAATCAAGCTCAGGCAATGCACGGCCTGTCGGTG